TGTCACATGATCCTTTAAAAATCATTCTAATATGCTGATTTGGTGGTTAAAATCATTTCTTATTATTAAAAAGGTAAGGACGGTTGTGTTGCTGGTAACATTTAATTTTAAGGAGGACCAGTTTTCACTATTAACTTGTTGCTTATTAGCATGTATATTAATAGCATAATGGCTGTTTATTAGTACTTATAAAGCACACATTTATGCCTTATTCTGCATATCCATTCTAGATCTCTTAATCATACCCCATGCCTAAACTAAACAACTACCTTACTAACTATTAATAAGCAGCAAATTAGGAGTTTATTGAGGAGGGGAAAAATCATAATTAATCATTAATAGTGAGAACTGTTCCCCAAATTAAAGTGTGACTGTGTTGCTTAATGTTTTTGTAGAAACTGTTACAGGAGGATTCTATGATGGATGGAAAGCTCAAAAAAACAAAAATGAATATAAATATATTTTTTATAACATTATAAATGTATTTGGCACTTTTGATAAATGTAATGCATCATTGATGAATAAAAGTATTAATATATGTTTTATAGAGCAATCTTTAAAGTTTGTTTTCATTAAATAATGTACATACTCTGTCAACATGATTTTGGACAAAGAAAACTTGGGCACTTAGAAAACATCTACTCTAATGTAATAAAATGTTATCAATATATGTTGTTTACAAAAAAAAGGTACTTTTTAATGGAGAAATAAGCATGTTCACGACATCAACCAGCAGCTGCCAAGGAACCATGCTAACCAGCCAAACCTTGACCCGCTGGTCTCAACAGTTGTAAAAGAATGTGTAGGAGTTGGACCACCTATCATTGTAGCTATAAAAGATGTATAAGAATGCAAGATCTTAGCGATCATCTTGTCGGTTTGTATGTCCATGATCTGTCACCATCATCAGTAGCGTGTCGTATGGGCTGCCAACACACTAGTGCAGAAGTACCGAGCAGTCGAGACACTGAACGGAGGACAGGAGAGAGAAAGGGACTCTTGGGCGAAGGACTGGAGGACGAGAGATTTCAGGAGTCTTTGATTAGTCCAGTAGTGTCAGGATAAACCTACAAGACACTAAAGGAGACAAGAGAAAGAAGGTAGACAGAGACAGTCGGTCGGGGTGGCAGGCAGACTTGGGAAAGAACAGCATGGTCACTTCATCTGCCACTGCCTATGGAGGAAGAGGAAGTCAAGGGAGAAAAAAGGCTAGAGGAACCGCATTCAAATGCATATGCCCATTCTCCCCCTTTCTGGTTAGTCTCGGCAGCTTCACGTCTGACTGGAGACTCCAGCAAATGACTTGATGGGTGCCAATCCACTGTCAACAGCCATATAGCTGTCCCACATCACTGCACCAAAGCGAGCACGGATCACATTTGTTACCCAAAAAATGTTGCCTAATGACTCCTTCTCGCAGCCTGGGTCACACGCTCTCCGCCCCACTGCCGGAACATCCCTGGCGATGCGAAAAGAACATGTTTTAAACCCGAGCCTGATGAGGGTGGAAGGCCGGCAATATGTTTTTCATGATGCCTGTGAATAGGCAATGAGGAACGGGCGAGTTGAGCGACATATCTCATGTGTGTGTGCACAACCTCGGACAGGCGAGAAGAGGAACGGGCCATCCTAGAGCCAGCGATTACCCGATCCATCGTGTTCCATTAAGTTTAAACAAGCGCTCACACGCAACTTTGGCTCTGGGCTGAGCTGTCCGGGACGTCGTATCTGCACGAGGCTGAGATAATGGCATCTGTCGCTGTTCCTTTAGTCACAGTCGACCCAGCGCTGCCCATTAGCCGGCTGCTGGCTGACTGCCCCGGCTCGACACGCTCTGATGGCCCAACACAAAAAAATACAGGATCCGACCGGCGCTCCTGTCTCGCTCCTTACTTCCCCTTTTATCCCTCCCCCCGTTCCTACTGTCATGACTAGAGGCTGTCTGGTGTTGGATTTTGTTGGCAAAGCAGCGCTCTAATAAAAGAGGGCCCTGACAGTGCTGAGGTATGACTACTGCTTCCCTCTGATCCATACCAGAGTAGGACAGGCCAGCGGATCAGGTCCCTAATTCACAATCAGAGCGCTGCTCCTGTAAGACAGATCTCTCCTCACAGGACATCTCGCTCGGATCGTGGAGCTGCAAGACAGCGCTGTCTTGATGTAAAAAATAACCAGCACCTGCCGAAATGGCAACCGGAGCGGTTTCCTCAAATCACGTCGCTTTGTTTAGCAAGAACCGAGCCTCGTCGTTTCATCTGCTTCAGGCCTTCAGCATGCACACCTATAGTGACAAGAGATAAAAGTGAATGCTCAGCTGACAAATGTCTATCAGTCTCCACTCCAGTGTGGCACTTTCTGAACTTAACATAACATCAGACCTAGCCATCAGAAAAGTTCCAGACACTTTGGAGTTAGGACTGTAGAACAATCACGTCAACGTTGAGGTTGGGAAGAGGTGTGGAGCGTTAAGCGTTCCCAATTATTAGCCAAGTTTGGTCATTAACGTCGAAGAGCGGAGGAGGGTGCGCGGTTGCGTCAGTTTTGATAAAGCAAAGCAATTTCAGCCGCTGCTATTCAGCCAAATTACAGTTGTACATCATGCTGGTTTCTCCCTCATTGTACAAGTGCGTGATGTTAACATTTCATTAGCATGTTGGTCGCCACTGAAAGGGTGAGAGAGAGAGAGACAAGACAAACAATAACTAGGCAAAGAAAGAGAGCTAGAGAAAGGCAGTCATTCGGGTCTAAATCATGAGCATTGGCGACATCTAGTGGACTGAAAACGGCATTACCAAGCGATGTGCTTCAGACACTTGTTTAATACTGTTGAACCAAACTATTATAGTACCAAGTTTTATTTACAATATTTATTGCTTATTTATTTAACATTTCTCTTTGAATATTAATGTGTGTCAAACATATAAACATATGTTTTATGGAAAAATGTAGGTCTATAATACAACTGCACATACAAAACATTTACAATGGTAGTTTTCATCTTACTACAGTTGTCATTTCTGCAACAACTGTTACCTTGGTACAATACAACATTTTAAAAACAGAACTGATCAATCCTGAAAGCCTCTTATGCTTGATGACAACCCGTATTATGTATTCTGGTATTACCCTAATAATAAAAATTGTAGTAACTTTACACAACATAGCTGTATAAAATGAATACATTATAATTCAAAATGATTAGATATACACTGAGACAAGTAACTATTTCTGACCTAATTAGCCAATTCAGATATTAAGATTATAAGTAAATAACAACTTAAACATAATTATATAATACATCGGTTATTATGCTTATATGCAGTACTTCAGAACAATTGCAAGTGTGATATTGCATAAACTGTAATTAGGTCTAATTGGCCTTTGGGGGAAATTGTTGTTACCTTGTAAATTAACAGGTCATGCCTTACTCTTAATGCTTGCTGCCTATAAATGGTGGATATATTTTTTTCTTTCTTTATTATTATAGTTATCATAATTTTTTGGGATGCACAAAAACTCCTTACACCTAAATCTGACTCTTAATTAACCAGAATTGTTTAATTATTCACCCACAAGTTGCATGACGAGTTTCTTGTTTTGACCAAAAAATTCAGCAGTGCACCAGGCCAGTAGCCATTTAAAGGATTAATGCCACATTTTTACAAGAAATTAGAAGCTTAATGAAATGGACAGAAATGCTGTCAGTGTTTTATTGCCAGTAAATTGCGTAGATGTGGGAGTCTCGTAATGAGTCGTGACAGTAGCTGCGAGGCGAATCTGATTTTATTGGCTTCTTGTGATACTACTGCGTTATTCAAGCTCGTATTTAACAAGACTGCTCGAGTAATGGTGCCTTAGCCAATAGTGCTAGGCTTCTCATAAAACTGAATTAAGCTTCAACATTCAGAAAAATATAAAGATCACCTAAATTATTATTAGACTATTTACATTGTTGGCCTATATTGTTTACTGAGGCTTTTTAGTACTTTTTCATAAGGACCAAAAATGAAGGAAACAAAATATAAAGGATGTTTAACTTGAGGTATAACTGATTCAAATTAATGAAAAGTACCCCAGCACCAGAACCGCATACTAGCCTACTGCAATTTCTAACACATAAAGTGGTAGTGGTATGGTGGTATGATATTTCCAATTCAGCCCATGTGTTTTTGTTGGGACAATTTAATTGCAGTACTCTGGCGCCCCCAATTGTCAAAAAAGGGGTAATGTTCAAAAAATCTGTTTAGGACGTGTTCTATAATTCACTTAAAACTCAATGATATATCATAAATTATCAGTCTGTATAATTGATGGAGTGTTTTAGTCATGAGCATGGTACTAAAGGGATCATTTAAGCAAAAATAAACAGTCATCATATACTCACCCTTATGCACAATGCTCCAGACCTGACAAAATAGTATATAAATATATCAGAAAAAAAGTAGCGCAGTAGTAATGTTGAAGAAGTAGTGCGTTATATTCCCAATTTCTATGATAGATTTGTGTGTCAAAACGTCAGCTATTTAAGCTGCTATTTTTTATTATTATTATTATTAATCTTCCACACAAGATTGAACTCTAGAACCGGATCATTCCGATTCGTGAATTAATCACAAAAAAAGTTTTGGTTCAAAAGAACGATTATGAATCGAATAATCGTCGGGGATGTTAATATTAAATACTTAAATTTCTGTCTGTTTGACGCACAACATTTCCGTATGATTTGGAATATTTAGCAAGAGTCATATGAACTATTTTTATGATGCTTGTATAGTGTTCTCTTCTTTATGGAGCTCGATACTTAACTTTTTTGGAGCAACAGGAAACCTATTTTTCAATGTTCATTGAAAATGTTCAATTTTTCAATGTTCAACGAACTGTGCTTTGAAGATTTTTTTCCCCTTTCAGCAAGTGTCCTAAATCTCTTAAACAATATGTAAGTATTAGGCAGGGTTTTTATACCTTGAATGTGGGACCAAATCAATGACAGAACATGAATACTCTTTCCAGTGTGTGTACATGTTTTATTTCTTGTGAATGATTACACCTTTGGCATGTCCTATATGTACTCTGAGAAACAAGAATCATAAGCAAGCTTGAAGATCAGTGAAAGTAAAGATTAGTGAGTTTTAAATCGGAGCAAAACTGCATTGGCACCTCAGAACCGGAATGTAAGTAATTCAAGTTCATCCTACAATGTCCTCGGATTGCATGAGCTACGCGCCAAGGATGCCGTAATGTAACTAGAGGGTAACGGTACAGCATAGCAGTTTGAATTTTGTTAGTTAGGATCCCTGACATCCTCTGAGGTAAGTGCAATCACAGTGTCCCAGAGGTCAAATGAAACGGTACAGCTCTTTCTCAGTCTTCGAAGTCGCAAACGCTCTCCCATGTGTGACTTCACAACATCTCTAGGCCCCGAACCGGTGCATCTGCAACACCCACCCTCTCCACTGGATACATACATGTGCACACACACAAACACACTCGAGACAAATTCAAAATGACATTTCAATCCCTTTACTAACCTTTCATACACAATACATGGGATGGGCTGTTTAGGTGACCAAGTGTGCATGTGTGCACTAGGGGCTTGCATCAGACAGGCCTCCTCTACATAAGGCTTCACAAGTGTACACTCAAATTTTGTGCACCCCAAATTTTCACAGAAGTCTGCCACATTCACGTGTTGAGGAGTAGACCAGGTATGCGTTTAAACTTGGCTACTGTGTTAAGTGACCAGCAGCATATACAGCATTCATCCAAGTCGTCAGGCGGTACTGTCTGACAGGGTGAGAGGTTTCTTGCTGTGCTTTTTTTTCCCTAAGTGACTTGCACTGTTACTTGTTTGCGGTCTTTTCTGGAGGAACAGTTTGTTAATGCCTTTTAGTCACAAAAAAAAAAAGTGTTCCACCTTCTTTTGTGCCTCTTCCCTTCCATCCATCCGCAGCTTTGCAAGCTTACCCACATTACATTTCTGCCCCGCCCACTGCAGCAAGTTTATTTTAGTGCCTTTCAAACTCTTGCTTATAAAGCATTTGGGAGCAGTAATGATGGTTGGCATACTCAGAATGCGGCCCATCCTGTAGTCTCTATCTTTTGTTACCTTTTCCATCATCTCCACACTTTTCATCAGTCTTTATCGCTATCTTTCTACACAGTGCTCCTGGGGGTTCCGTTTAAGGCAACAGTCTTCAGGAGAGGAGTGCCAGCTGGCTGGTTGCTTGTCCTTGAGATAGAAACGCCCACCTCGAACACCTCATGAATGGCTTTCCGGAAACAGTGGAAATTGTAGTCTATTAATCCTGTGGCACAAAAAGGAGAATTAAAAAGAACCGAAAACTGCTAGTATGAAAGGCACCAATATAACCATTGCTGTGGTGTACCTTTGCGCTCAAAGCTCTCTTCTCTCAGGATGCAGACCAGGGCGAGGAACTTGGTGACCTCTTTTAGGTAGAGCACTGTGGTGTTATTGAGTTTGATGATGGCCATAGACTCCTTATCATATGCACTGCCACTGCCATCCTCCTTTAATCTGTGTGATCAAAACATACTTAGAATGCAGAACTGACTGTAAGCATACTAAAAATGACATTAGGAAAACAGTTAAGGTCAAAGGTTTACATCCCCCTTTCAGAATCTGCAAAATGTTAATTATTTTACCAAAATAAGAGGGATCACACAAAATGCATGTTATTGTTTATATAGTACTGATCTGAATAAGATGTTTCACATAAAAGACGTTTACATACAGTCCACAAGAGAAAATAATAGTTGAATTTATAAAAATGACCCCGTTCAAAAGTTTACAGTGATAGTTGTTCACGAGTCCCTTGTTTGTCCTGACCAGTTAAACTGCCTGCTGTTCTTCAAAAAATCCTTCAGGTCCCACAAATTCTTTGGTTTTCCTGCATTTTTGTGGATTTGAACACTTTCCAACAATGACTGTATGATTTTGAGATCCATCTTTTCACACTGAGGACAACTGAGGGACTCTTATGCAACTATTACAGAAGGTTCAAATGCTCACTGATGCTCCAGAAGGAAAAACCATGCATTAAGAGCCGGGGGTGAAAACTTTTGAACAGAATGGAGATGTGTACATTTTTCTTATTTTGAAAATTAAAATATCATATTTTTTCATTTAGTACTGCCCTTCAGAGGCTACAGAAGATGTCGCATTTCCTTAGTTTAAAAATATGTCCACAAATAAAGGATATTAGTAGGTTTTACAAGTTAAAGGGTTAGTTCACCCAAAAAATTAAGTTAGTTCTGGCAGGTCATGTGAGTCAAGCTTGCATCAGCTGATCACATCTACCTATAGGAATACGACACCCATTGCGGCATTCCTATATAAGCTCTATTCAGTATTATTCAGCAGCTTTTCAGCTTGCTTCGGAGCAAATTACCCTCCTCCATCCCCAGCTCCTCCTATCGCACAGTCAGGACTTGTCTTTCTGATATTTCTTGCTGATCAGACTCCTTTACCTTGAATAAAGTGTTACACTTAAATATCATTAAGTACATTAATGATATCTGCCTTGTTCTGTTCTGTTAACCCTAGGGGGGTTATTATTGCTGCTCTCCCTGCTCATTCATGACAGGCTGCATGGAAGGGCAGGGAGGTTTTTGCCCAGAAGAGAACCATACCGCCAAACCAAACTTTAATGCTAAGTATCTACCATTTTGACGATAGTGGTCCTGACAGAATTTAAATTCTGTCATTAATTACTCACCCTCATGTCATTCCACACCCCTAAGATCTTCATTCATCTTCAGAACACAAATTAAGATATTTTTGATAAAATCCGATGGCTCAGAGAGGCCTCCATTGACAGCAACTCAAACTCTCAAGATCCATAAAGGAACTAAAGACATCATTAAAACTGTCGACGTGACTACAGTGGTTCTACAATAATTTTATGAAGCAACGAGAATACTTTGTGCGCAAAAACAAAAACGACTTTAATCAACAACCTCTTCTCTTCGGTGTCATTCTCATACGTTGTTTGCGTCCAGCGCTTCCAGGTTCTACGCCAGAAAGCCGGCTCATTATTGGACGGCTCCTGCATCAGCATCACACGCATGCGTCGCGCTGTTCACATGTGCAGCTTTAGCCAATAATGAGCCAGCGTTCAGACGTAGAACACGGAAGCCTTCACTGTGCTTACTGTGTTAACCGCGTAAGGATAATGACAGGGAAGAGGAGAGATTTTTTTTGTTTGTTTGTTTGTTTTTTTGCGCACAAAGTATTCTCGTCGCTTCATAAAATTATTGTAGAACCACTGTAGTCACGTCGACTGTTTTAACGACGTCTTTAGTACTTTTATGGATCTTGAAAGTTTGGGTGGCGTTGCTGTCAATGGAGGCCTCTCTGAGCCATTGGATTTGATCCAAAATATCTTAATTTGTGTTCTGAAGATGAACGAAGGTCTTAGGGGTGTGGAACGACATGAGGGTGAGTAATTAACGACAGAATTTTCATTTTTGGGTGAACTAACCCTTTAAGAAAATTTGGGGAACAAAGTTTTAAAGCCCTCTCATGCAAAAGATGTGAGTGAAATTGGAGTCATTGGATAGATGGATATAGATAGATTGTGTTTGTATGTATTGTGCATGTACTCCAATAGGCAAGTAGAAATAATATACAAGGCTCACCCGTAAATACAGGAGACGTCGATGACCACATCGATCATGTCGCAGCAAAGCTCATAGGACTGCATGTCCACCGGTGAACTGTCGGTGGCGATGTAAATCTTACTGACGACATCAAACAGGAAGGCCTTCTCAATCCCTGAATTCTATTAGCAGAGAAACACACATACACGCACACATTGCATAATGCCCTGCAGGGTTTGATATGGGATCTTACAGCATTGAGAGGATAATAAAACATGTATGAGCATGACTGCATCCGAGATGGAAAGTGAACAAGCCATTTCCACCAGAGCAGCAACAACAACACTATATATTCTTCATAATGACAATAATGGAGTGACCAAAGAGGGAATGGAACTTTATTAAGGTGCAAACATCAAGACAGCATGACCCATTTAGAAGCGTTGTGAAGTCTTGAGGTAAAGACACATACAGATATAAAGATGTTGAGAAGGTTCTCCAGCGTTGGAAGCTGAGGGATGAGCTTCTGGACAACTTTACTGAAGGCCTCAAAGATGGAGTGATCATATATACTAGTCAAATAGAAACTGTAGAGGACAGAAAAAGGGCATTCGATTAGACAATGTCATACAAAATGTTCCTCCATTATCTGACACAGATCAGACCTTGTTGCACATTTTTAAACAATTGCAGGGTAGCTAAAGAAACATTCCTCGGGACTGAACATTCACTTCTGACAACTGCAATATCACATGGATATGTGCAAGTGGCAAACAGTTAAATGCACTTCTTGATCAAAATGCCCATCTTAGTAAGGTATTTAAGTGAAAATAGTGTTATTGACTATACATTTCAGAGACAAACATTGCCGTGTAAACAGTTCTGTTGCCAAATGAACAGAAATGTTACGAAAACAAAGGACACCAGAATCAGGCAGAAAAGAAGTGGCATAAAGGCTCTGCAGTGTTGGACCGCAACCTTTAACTTAATATTAAAAATCCTCTAATACCACAGTGGTCTGATGTGAAAATTTAATAAGCAACTTGTAAGAAATGGCAGGAGGTGCCAATTGTGAAAGGTGACAAAACTGAGAAACTGCAGCGTGAGTAATTCTATTATTCAAATTAATTTGCGGATTATATTATTAAGGTTAAATGAGGCAGCAGCATGCATTATTCTATCCTACTTAAAAAACAATTCATATTACCAGGGTTGAGTTAGCTATTAAGACCACAGAGAAATTTGACACTGCTGATCACAGTATGCAGAAAATGCTAAGTATTCTTGAAATTCACCCTTGTCTGTTGTTCACGAGGCACTGACCGCTCAAGCCTCCTTGAACTGTACACTCATATTGCTGTAGTGAACTGAAGGAAAACGAGCTTCTTGCTTTCCTAATATGACTTCTTCAACACGTAAAAACTATATAGCCTAAACAGCAACCAAAAATTATGCTTTATATACATATATATATTTATTTATTTATGTTTTTACTGAGGTGATTGTAGATGCCATATTTGGATTGATAGAGGTAAATGTGACCCTGGACTACAAAACCAGTCATAATAAATATAAATAATAAAAAAGAACAAATAAGCTTTCCACTGATGTATGGTTTATTAGAATAGGACAATATTTGCCCGAGATACAACTATTTGAAAATCTGGAATCTTGATTGTGCAAAAAATAAATAAATAAAAATTAAAAAAATCTAAATATTGAGGAAAACCGCCTTTAAAGTTGTCCAAATGAAGTCCTTAGCAATTCATATCATATTACCTTAGCAATTATATAAAGTGTTCATAAAATTAAGTGTTGATATACAGTACTTACGGTAGAAAAATTTTATATATTTGATATAGTTGATATATTTACAGTATAAAATATCTTCATGGAACATGATCTTTACTTAATATCCTAATGATTTTTAGCATAAAAGAAAAATCGATAATTTTGACCCATACAATGTAATCTTGGCTATTGCTACAAAAATACCTGTGCGACTTAAGACTGGTTTTGTGGTCCAGGGTCACAAACAATACAAGGTTAAATGCAAGTATTTTCAGATGATGCACTATTAAGCAGACACTCTTAAGTAGATCAGAGAGTTGCAAGATGCATATTCATCTTCACATTCAGTAAAAAGTATGAGGAGATTCTAAAGCATTAGTGAAGACAACAGAAAAACCATGTAATCGGATTCAGCCATAAGTGGCACTCTATTTAAAATCTCATAACCAAATTAATTTAGCAAATGCCTATAATCGCTGAGATTTAACACAGAGGTCATGAAAAAAAAACGAACATAATTTCCTTAGAGAACTCCTTTTCGACATCAATCCATTACATCCATTATTATGTCAACACCGTCAACACCAGAGCTCTGACTTAACACAGTTTCTCCGCTTTTAGTGACGTAAAAAAGACGAACCAAAAATCAACAGATTTCAGAAATGAGTTTTCCTCATATTCACAAATTAATTAGCTGTTCTGTAAAATAAAATAAAAATAAGAATAGTGTATCTGTTCCATCTTCTCAGATCGCATAAATAGTGGCACATATTATGGTTCAAGAAGTATTTCAATCAATAAACAGCATTAGAAATAAAACTGCAAATGTTTACCTGAGATGTAATTTCTCTAAACTGGCATCTGCCAGGTCATCGTTAGCCCTCTGGTGTATATCCCGCTGGGTCTCAATCTTATGGTCATCAGACAGGCCATCTACTTTATGGATAAACACTTCAAAGTTGATCTCTGGGTTGACCCTGTAGGCGCGTGATACTGTTAGGTGGAGTCGACTAAGGGCCTCCACATAGTCATCCTGTGATACAGAGGAAGAATGCAAGATGGTATGAGCTGGCAATGTACAATATAGAGGATGGCCAGGTTTAGAGAAAATGCCATACTTTAGGTTACCAAACAAATTGCATTTTACATATTAACAAAAAAATAACTATATACAGATGCAGAACTACAAAAATTATGTAAGAAAGTTTCTTCAAATAGCAGAAGATATTTTACAGCTCTTCTTGATGAAATAACACATCTTTTTGTGTATTATCACACACTGCTGTAGTTGAGACTTCCACTAGTAAAAGGGTTTGCAAATCTAATCGATCATATTCTTTCAAATAACTTTCAGCTAGAAGTAAGACTGAAGGGCTGAGAGAAAACAGCACGGACTTCCCTATATCAGCAGAAGTCAATCTTGTACCTATTTTTACATTAAGCCAATGTGATCCAATGAGCTAAGCCTCAATGACAAACAACATTCAATTAAATGAAACCAGAATGTCTGGACTCAATGCCAAGGTTTCAATAAGCCAACTATTTAGAACCATTAAAGGTCTAGTTCACCAAAAAAAAAGGTGAAGGTGAACAAACGTAGGCAAACAAACAGTTTCTCGTGCCCATTGCGTTCCTAAGTGTTTTTTTCCATACTATGGAAGTAAAAAATAAAAAAAAACTTCCTTTTACAATGACAACTTTGATTGATTAATACAGTTACTTTCTTTTTGAAATATAGTATAAACAAACATAAATACTAAGAAAGCAAGCTTTATCTGCTTAAAACTTTACATATCCCATCAATGAATAAAACATAGCCAGCCATGATTTGTAATTTATAACATTTCACAAAAAAATCCAGCCATCTCGAATTACTGACAGAACTACATCACTATGTCGTTTGGGTGTGCACAGTAATTAGTGTCAAGGCTTTGAATTTCTTGTTTCACCTGTGCATCGATGACAAATATCAAGGCCCCAGTTCCTCTGAAAATCATCTCGTAGTCAAAGGTTGGATCAAAAAAGTCCACTTGTCCAGGGAAGTCCCAGATCTGGAAGTTGACGAAGGAGCTGCTGGAGATGTCATCTTTATAGATCTTGTTGGTGCTCTCGAGAAACAGGGTCTCGTTGGGGGACATCTTATGAAACACCACCTAATAAGTCAAAGACATTTAGTACATTAAAGCATTCCTCCAATGGGAGAGTAATAAAGTCAGACAGTTGTGAAATCAAACTAAAAGCCCAGTCACATGCTTCATGGACTTTGAGGAGCTTACTGGTGGCAAGACTTCATTCTCAGGGGCTTCAAATTTTACATTCAAAACGCTGTTTACACACTTTTCATTGTAAAAAAGTGGTACATTAATTAATTTGTATTATTGTCCTCATGCATGCTTATGAGTTCTCTCCTTTAGGCATTTGTGTGTTTCACAGTACAGCAGTTATGACTGTCATGTGTTCATGTCCAGTGCTTGATGATGCAGCATTTATCGACTGGTGGCCTGGAAATTGTGGGGAGTCGTCGTGACTACCGACACCGACAGGAATTGCTTGTTTGTATGGTGTTTGTTGTTATGATGTTTGGTACTTTTATTTGTATGTTTTTATTAAAACTGCTATATAAGACAAACTTAATATTACTACTGTTATTATTGTCATGTGACATCACCATGGCAGCACCCAAGAGGGGGCGACCCACTCCATGTACAATAAAACAGCTTTTTCTAGTAGACTAGAGTTTAATTGCATGTGATTGTTCAGGATTTCTATACATGTCAAAAGCGCTGTTCACTACTTTGTGTGCATTTTTAAATTAGCGACAATTACTGAGTGCATAATAGCCTACACAAAAGGTGCACTTAAAGGGGTCACATGATGTTGCTAAAAAGAACATTATTTTGTGTATTTGGTGTAATGAAATGTGTTTATGCGGTTTAAGGTTCAAAAACACATTATTTTCCACATACTGTACATTGTGGTTTCTCCTCTATGCCCCGTCTTTCTGAAACATGTCGATTTTTACAAAGCTCATCGTTCTAAAAAGAGAGGTGTGCTGTGATTGGCCAGCTATCCAGTGCGTTGTGATTGGCCGAATACCTCAAGCGTGTGACGGAAATGTTACGCCCCTTACCATACTGTTGATGCCGTGTCCCGGCCGGAGCGACAAGACAAAAACATTAAAACCCATTATAAACGAGGCATTTGTTGCATCCAGTGGGGACATAATTACGGATTATAATGACTTGTACTGTCTTTTTATGCGTTGCATCGCGCCGCGTAAACATAAAACCGTGTCTGCATTTGTGATCGGAGAAATTACAAACAACAAGCGCTACGCTTCACTGCTCAAAACTGGCGTCTGAATCGTCAGTGGCAAATTCTTTAATATAAAAAAAACTTACTTAACAGTCTGTGAGTCAGAACAGCCGGCATTGTAGTCTACTCTTCCAGGATCAGGAAACAGTCCTCCATAAAATGTGCTGCACACATCTGAATATTTGGGTTGAAGTGTTCTGGAACAGTGTTGTAAATACAACTTAACCACTGATTTCTAGTCGTGTCCTCTTTTGGAAGGCCAAACAAAGTAGTTTCACTTTCACAATGAAACACACAGCATCACACACGGCGGGCTAGAGTGAGCGGAGGCCGGTGTGCTAGAGTGAGGAACGGCTTGAGAACGGCGCGGCCGGCGGATTCGACGAAAGAGCGGCCGGCGGGGCTTGCGGCAACCACATGTGACGACCCCGGGCTGGACTCCAAAGGAAAATTTGAAACCGCATCATATGACCCCTTTAAATGTCTTACACAATTTATACGAAATGAATACCCTTTGTTTATAAGATGCACAAAGACAGTAGATGGTCCTCAAGAATGAACTAAGTTACTTCTAAAAGTCCGAAAAGTGTCTTCTAGTCAACCATTTCTGTTCGTATGATCTGCATAATCTGTGTTGAGAGGGTGTGGTGAAAGATGAATATATGAATATATGAATAAGAAATCACGTGCCGGGTGCGTTATCACAACATTAACATGGCACGCATATGCTACATATAGCCTTCTTAGACAGCTGAATGAATATGATGCATTTAGGCCTGTATGGCATCCAACTCCATAAATCCACCAGTGCTTAAGGAATAGGTTGGCTGTAACGGCTCTGAGTGGTGATCTTGCCCGTGCCCAGTGACAGCTAACGTTAGGCAGCCTGGAGCGGCTCTGACCCGGTTCCAACTCGCTGTGCTAAGGGAGAGGAGAACCTAACGTTAGACGGTCTAAATATCATCTCTTCCTCCTACCTTCTGGATAGACGACTTTCCGCTCCTCCTCAATCCCATCAGCAGGATTCTCGGTTTGCTGTCGGAGGGAGTAGGACTGTCCTCAATGTCTCCTTCTTCTTCTCCATATCCGAAATCTTTGGGAAACGAGTCCGCCACCCCGTAGCTGTCCGCCAGCGGTGCCTCGTACTGGATCGACATGTTAACCCCCTCCCCAACCCCTTTAAAATATAACCTGGCCGATTATTAGTAATCCAACCAGCACGAAATTAATGCTCAGTGAACAAACATAAATCCTTGTTATCGTATAAACAGATGAGAGCAAACTTATTATGGATTCTCCTTTAAATCTTCAGTCTCTTGTGTTTCCCATCTCGATGAAACGCCCACTTAAGAACGACACTCGAATGTAATTGGATGGCCGCCGGGTAACTCGTACGCTGATTGGATAACTAAAGTGTCACTCTACTAAACTATTGAAATGTGGGTGGAACGTTCCAAGTCATGTGCCTGATGGTCACCTGACAAACAGATTTGTGTGAATGGATGTTTTTTTCCGACCTTTTACCTGAAATGGTATTTCTTACCTTGAAATGCTTATAAAGATTTGTTGGTAAATGTAAAATGTTGTTTATGAATGTTCGTTTATAAATGTACGTTTAATCCACTGATCTATAATAGAGATGTCGTTTATATATTTTTGTTTTTAGATAAGAAACAAACAAACAAAAATGTTAAAGTAACTAGTGGGAAAACAACGATGTTAAAATTGTTAATCTCAAATACCAAATAGAAAGTTGCAAACAATAACATTGATTGATTGATTTAATTCTATGTATTATTTATTATTAACTTTATATTTAATACATTGGTTATTATACCATTTTAACATTAGGCTATGCATGCCATATGGTAGTTGTACATGTAGCCTATTATGATATATTTTATGACATAACACAGGCATAATCTTTCAGATGGGTAAACTGGAATTAACATCTCTGGTCATTTGTTATGCTCTGGTCATATCCATTTACCATGTAAATATGTTCATATGACATCAAGACAGTAATTTAATTTGGACTGTTTTTAGACATCAAAATCTTGAAATAGTCTGTTGTTTAATGTAATAATGAAAATGATGCCACACATAACTCAAACAACAGGCTGATTAAAGGTTAGGCCTTCAGACAATAACAACAGTGACTGACCAATGTGTCACATGGCAGAATAAAGCCAGTGTTGTTATTGTTAGTTTTACTACAGTATATGCACAGTTGTACAGAATAATCAGATTACATTTTTTTTAGCATTTTAGCATTTGGGAGCACAGGTCAATTAAATTGAAAAAATATCAGAGATCCATTTAATTATGTTGGGAAGACAATATGTTTGTGGTTAGGACACCACCAAAGAAAGTATAAAGGATTCGATCTTAATTCTGATTTCTTGAAATTATCATAATAAAAGCTCTCCATTCAAAAGCTGAATAGGAATGTACAACTGTCTTACAAGACAGGTTCATCTGAACAACTGTTTTGTAGTTTGGATGACACGTGGATTGTGTTTTGTTTTTGTTATTCATTCATGCTTCCTTTTCAAAAACAGCCAGGAAGTATAACCAATCCAGTTCCTAACACTCAAATTAGAGCAGCATTTAATTGCTAATATTTCAAAAGTATATTTTGTGTGAGGATTCAAAATATATAGCTACAGGCTTTAGTCCAGTAGATGGTGCTGTGAGCACTTCAAATATTTTGAACTGTATTATTAATACACTGGACCGTGTTGTTAAAATAATAAGAACAATTTTCAAATGGCTCTGTCTGTCCTCTTTTAATGTGAGGTAACAGCTTCCTTCTTCTCTGTGATTCTTCTCTTTACAATCAAGTGTAAGACAAGAGCAAGAATAGTTTCTTAAAGATAGGCTACTTTCTTTAGTGCCATATGCTATGACATGAAGCGATGACAGTAACAGCAACAGACAACATACAAAAAAGTACAAAACCATAATAATACAGAAAGTAATAACATTTAGATTTTTTGCTGTAATAAGTTAATTTCAAGCCTGTGGGAAGAAACTGTTGCTTATTTTGGTACTTACAACTTTGGTACTAACAGTAGCAGCTACTTTACCATTTAGGTTCTAAACCAGCTTTTCTCATCATAATACTAATATTAATATATAGAGTCAGCTAGAAAAATGTATTTTATTCGACTTGTTTAATCTTTCTTAGATTCCTAATTTAGAAATGCTGGTCCATATGCTTAGAAAAAACAGACTTAAATAACGATTCGATATCTGGTTTAATTGCATTGTAAATCGAACCAGTTTATTACCTGTTAATATGACATATGCACAAAACAACAATAAAACAACATCATATTTTTGAAGATTTTTACAGTTGCTGTATTACAGCACAATGTGTTTTAATTTGAATTTTTTTACCATTACATCATTTTGACTTCTGATGCAGGAAGCACTCAAAAAGAGAAATGTCCAGATGAGAACAAGGCATACATAATCATACATACAATCTCTCTAATGTAGTCATACTACTATTGTTAATGAAATATACTGTCAGTGTGTACTGCTAAATTGATATGTAAAAAGAGAGCACAAACAATCCATTAAGGAGTGCCACAACTTTATAGAGTTGAATATAAAACTTTAGTCTGAGATTGCTTGTGTGCTGACATCAAAGTTGTAGATAATCCTTTTACTGTGCTTTTCCATCAATATACTGTAACTGTAGAAATAACATGGCTACCATCAATAGTGAATGCCTATATTGAGTTTTTCTCATATCTGTAGGTCTGTAGGAGCTGCTCGTCTGCTACTGGAACTGCTGGCCAGTGAGGCGCGATGGCTCGGTGATGCTCGTGGACTATGCCGTGACTCCGAGCTGGATTCTTCTATTGAATCAGGAGAAGTGGGCCTGCTCATTTTGGAATCAGACCTGGATGAAGTGCGAGCTCGCACAGCGGTGTAGGGACAGCGGGCCTTAGCACCTTCCAAGGAATCCGTGTCTGAGCCATTACCTTCTACGACCGTTGAGCAGTTCCAGGGTGCGCTGACCTTCCATGGCTTCTTTCCCACGCCGGATGATGTGTGAGAAGATTCCCTGGGGTGGCTCGATGAGTCTGAAGTCTTAGACTCCTGGCCTTTCTTGAACAGAGGTGGAGGGTGGATAGAATCTTCCCCTTCATCTTGCTTTGGCGGCGTGATGGAGTTGCAAGGTGGTGAACGCGTATCACTGCTGGTGTTGTTGGAATTGCTGTTGTGCTCTGTGGGACTGTTCTGTGAGTACTTTGGTGCATCAGAACCATCTTTGGTTTGCATATCACTCTGAACGGGCAAGAAAGCAGAGGATGGGTTGATCAAAGGAGGGTAGGCGGTTCCATCGGGTGGTCTCTCGAGAAGAAGGTTGTATCCACTGGGTGCTGAAGCAATGGTGGCCTTGCGGCCAGTGGAGGTACCAATGCATGTCTGATGCACCACGGAATCTTTCTTCAGCTTGTTTGGATAATAGCTGTCATCGAGATCATCCCTCAGCTGTGGGTAGTAGTTCAAGATGACCTTTTTAAGCTTCTTGTAGCCCAGGTGCATGATCTCCAGGATGTTGAGAAACAATGAGATGGCAGCTATGCATTGCATGAACACCATGAAGACGCTTTTCTCAGTGGGTCGAGATACAAAGCAATCCACCGCATTCGGACAGGGCTCCCGCTCACATTTGTAGAGTGGATTTAGTTGAAACCCATACAGAACATATTGTCCGGTCATGAAACCCACCTCTACGGCCGAGCGGGTGACTATGTGAGCCACGTAGGTGCGCAGAAGAGACCCCCTCAAGGGAGCTTTGTTTAGCTTCCCCTGGTCTATCTGCCGAAGCTCACGTTCTATTTTGCGTCGCACCTCCGCCATCTCTATGTCCACAGCCTCCAGTTCACGTCTCAGAGCCAATTTTTTGCGCTGACGTTCTTTTTCGAGGGCTCGGAGGCGGTAGATAGCATGGCCCATGTACACCAGTGAGGGGGAAGAAACAAAAATGACCTGCAGCACCCAGTAACGGATGAGGGAAATGGGGAAGGCTTTGTCATAGCACACGTTGCGGCAACCAGGCTGCTCGGTGTTGCAGATAAAGTCAGCCTGTTCGTCGTTCCACACATCCTCCGCCGCCACACCAAGCACCAGCATGCGGAAGATGAAGAGGATGGTCAGCCAGATTTTCCCCACTATGGTGGAGTGGATATGCACCTCCTCTAAAATCCCACCAAGAAAGTTCCAGTCTCCCATCTTTACTCTGGCATTTTTGTGTCTGTAAAGAGAGTAAACAGGGAGCAAAAATCATTCAAATGGACTGTGGTGGGGCTCTGTCAATATGTTCAGCATGCTCACTTTTGAGTAGGCTACCAGAGATCCTTGGCCTCAACATCTGCGTTACTTAGAGACTTGACTACACTAGCTATATCCAAACACCAAGAAATATTCTTACTCTTTGCACTGACTAAAACAAAATAGAATCATTTTACTCAAGAAAGACAAATCAAAGCTTTCGATAAACTTAATCTGCTAACATCACACTGCAATATGCAAAAATAGAATCTGTAAGATCCAAATTTTGGTCCCTAATCTTATTATACATAAAGACCTGATTCCTCATTGCACTACTACTATAATAAACCTTGAAATAGAAACATGTTTGCAATCTAATTTAATGTCCCATCTATATATTTTAATTTTTTTTGCCAGATATTTCTTTGTTCGCCCCTGTTTATTTTCTTCTCAATTTTGTATTTGGTAATTTTCTTTCAATTGTATCTAAAAACCTCCAGAAAGAAAAAAAGAAGGTCAAAAGAAAGACTAGTGGTTGCATTTGAATATTAAAATGCATTAAAATAAAACCAAATTGAGTACCAGACTATTAATTGACTTTTATCACTTTCATCATTACAGTCACTTTTATTTTAAATCAGTATTTTACCAGAGAAACTAAGACCATTTTAGAGTAACCTAGTTATATAAATGCATACACTATATACTTTTTTTTCAAAACTAGTAAGCAATACAATAAAAATACACAAAATGTGTTGCTGGACTAAAACTACAGATGAAAGATCACAAAGCCTCAATTGCAAGCTTCAAAGCATTAAAATTCAGTCTAAATCACTCCAACAAAATTCAGAATAATGGTAGATTAATATGGGTTATTTCAGGTTTTTTTAACTGTTACAATTAATCCCAAATATGGTATTGCCAATTCAAGTATAATCAGAATTTTTAAAAAATTCAAATATTTACTTTTTTTTTAATATTGTAAAAAAAATAAAAATAAAAAAAAAATTGGATCCAGGGCAAAATATAGTATCAGGTATAAAT